CTCCATGTGGGTTTTTTTAGGAGAGGATTTTGCTATAGTGTGTGTGCGCTCTCCAGGAAGACAGAGACAGAGAGACAGAAAGCGAAAAATCACCCCCCGGGGGGATGGCCACGCCGCAGTCCCTTCTCCTCCACTCTCCTCTCGGGATCTTGGACACGCACATGCCAGAGTGGGAACCGCGGTGGCCTAAGTGGGGCCCAGAGCTGGCAGCACTCCGCCATCAGCCGGGCCCTCAAGGTGTATCTCTGACCCAGAGGCCAGCAAGGCCTCGGTCCTGCCCTCAGATGCTGCCTGGGGACATGACTGTCACCACCACAGGCGCCGCCGGGTGGGGCAGGGACACTGCTCAGTGCCGGCGGCCGGCTGGAGGGAGGGACCCCGGCCAAGTGTGAGGCTGGACGTTCTGTGAGACACGGTCCCATGTCACCACAGCAGGCCGCAGCGTGTGGGATCGGAGCTCGCGGCCTCCGGTCTCTCTGTCTCTGTGCCCAGAGACCTTCTCTGACTCTGTCTCTGTCCCCGGAGACCCCTCTGTCTCTGCCCCCGGGGGCCTCTCTGTCTCTGCGCCCCGCGACCATCTTCCCCGGCCGTGGGTCGCGCCTGCCCCCTCGCGGCCGCGGAGGTCCACGCAGCCCGGGCCCTCTCTGTGCAGCCCAGCGGCAGCATCGTCCCGGCCTGCGCGTCTGGGCGGGAGCGGCGAGAGCGCTCCGGGAGACCCCAGCAGGCGAGGGCGAGGAGCTTGTTGGGGAGCTTGTTCACAAGGCGGCGTGAAGGGCCCAGCCGGCCTTGGGGGCGGAGAGGTCCAGAGTCGACCCCGACTTCTCAGAGACCCGCGGCCCAGGGGCTGCGGTGGAGTGGCAGGGTGCCTTCCGGGTCCGGCCGTTTTCCTGGGGTGCCCTCCGGCGGCCTGTGTCGTGACTTTAGGAACTCCCTACGGTCGGGGTCCCTCTTCGCTTGCACATTGCTGGCAGCTCTGGGCGAGGGACCACAGCGCTCCTCGCAGAGCCTCATAGGGCTCGCCGGGTCTCTGGGCCCCTGATCCTGGCAGGGACCTATAATCCATTCTATGTAGGATCCCAAGGCCCCACGGGAGCGGAGGGAGCCAGGGTTCCTGTAACTTTGGGGGCGACAGGTGTGAGTCCCAGCTTCCTGGGAACCTGGAGCGTGGACGGGGTAGGGGCTGAGCCTGTGCAGGGGATCCTAGAACATCACAGTACACTAAGGGGGCCCTGTTCCCATCAGCAGTGGCCCCCACCCCTCCCAGCCCCGCGCCCAGAACTGGGCCCCGTCCTGTCCCTGTGGACCAGCTCGTTCCGGGCGTTTCACGTAAGTAGCGTCACACCTGCCGTGACGTTCTGTGTCCGGCATGGCTCATGTGTTTAAGGCATGTCCACGTAGCGTGTGTTGAAGCCCCCTTCCTGTGGTTGAGTGATATTCCCTGTGTGGACTGCCACGTGCTGGGTCCACACAACCCTCTGTGGGCATGCTTTCATCTTCCACTCTTGTGCCTAGGAGCCTGCGTGGCAGGGTTCATGATCATGCTTGGTTAACATGAGAAGTCGGTTTCCAAAGTAGCCCCACCGTATTTTTTTTTTTTTTTGAGAGGTATTTGCTATAGGGCGCGTGTGCTCGCCAGACCGACCGAGAGAGGACGAGACAAGACAGAGAGACAGCGAGAAATGGCTACGCCGCAATCGCTTCTCCTCCATTCCCCTCTCGGGATCTTGGGCACGCATGCACACGCGCCTGGCGTGAGTTTAAGCCACTGGGTCCGGGACTCGAACCGCAGTCGACTACGTGGGAATCCAGCGACATAGCCATTACGCTAACTGCTGGTCCCAGCCCCGTTTTTTATTTCCTTTTAGAGAGTGAGATTTTTGCCCAGGGTGTTCACCAGAGACAAAAGGCAAGAACCGCTCCCCTCCGCCCCATATTCCTCTTGGGATCTTGGGTACGCACACATCTGCGCCTGGTGTGAGCTATTTCCCCCCTGAAGAATGATTTAACTTTATTTATTTTTTTGAGAAGTTTTTGCTATAGGGCGCGTGTGCTCCTCAGAGAGAGAGAGACAGAGAGACAGAAAGCGAGAAATCACCCCCCAGGGGGGATGGCCACGCCGCAATCCCTTCTCTGTACTCCTCTCGGGATCTTGGGCACGCACGCACATGCGCCCGGCATGAGTTTTAAGCCACCGGGTCTGGTCAACTACGTGGGAGTCCAGTGACATAGCCATTACACTAACCGCTGGTCCCACCTTTAACTTTATCTATTTTAATTTGACCAGAGAGGGAGCGCGACAGAGAAAGTGAGAAGAGTCTCGTCAGGTCTAGGACTCAAACTGTGGTTGGCCACGTGGGAGTCCAGTGCCTTTAAACATGACGCCACTTGCTGCCCCACCCCCCCACCCCAGCATTGAGTTTAATCCACCGGGTCCAGGACTTGAACTGCAGTTGACCACAGGGGAGTCCAACGACATAGCCATTATGTTAACTGCTGGTCCCAACCCCACAGGGTTTTCACATTGTGCTCTCATTCCAGCCAGCCGGAGGAGAGACGCACGCGTGCGACAAGACAGGGCCTCGGGCCGTGAACCTGGCCTCTTCCACGTGGTTTCAGCACACTGAAAGTCATGTTCCTTCTGTGGCCTCACCAGACACCAGCCCAGCCAACACGCGGACTGAGACTCGTAGTCCCTGCAGCTGGGGGCAAGCTGTTTCCCATCTTCATCAGTTACCTGTACAGCAGCAGCACGCAGCCTTCACCAACAGCGCGCTGTGTAACAAACAGCCCCACACAGTTGATCAACGCCGCTGATCCTGTGCTGGTGTTTTAGAAGTTTATCCATTTATCCATGACAAAGCGTGACAGAGCGTGTGTGTGCACCAGAGACGGAGTCTCGCCACACTGCACGCCATCCAGCGGCCCTCAGCCTCTCGGGATCCAGGACACTTGCACAGGTGAGGTGTGTGCGCGTGTGCCCGTGCCCCGGCCAGGGGGGAGGATCAGAAATGCACACCAAACACAAATGGGAGGTGTGCCTCTGGGGGGCAGAGGGGCCACGGGGGCCTTCCCGGGGTCCCACTACTCGCCTGGAGGTCTGTAACATGGGGTTTTGGGGATAGCGTCTGACCCGCCACACAACGCAGCAACCCGGCCGGCGGGTGGGCTGGAGGGGCAGGCGCTGGATCCCGCGAGGCCAGGACCCGTGGCTTGGAAATCACACCAGGCCACGCGTGCCCTCGCGGAGACTTCTTGCCCTCTCCGCGCAGCCCTATAGCCGAAGGCGCCGTCCAGGGCCGACCCGCGAGGGCAGGGCGAGGGCTCCGCTCAGCACGGCGCCCTGCGTGTCCCCGTGCCCTTTCAGAGGCCCGCAGAGCGCGGGGCGGGGCTGCCCGAGCCGGGCGGGCGCCGGGACCCCGCCTGCTGCCGCGTTTCCGTCCCAGTCCCTGCAGGGCAGGGCTGACCTGCGCAGTTCGGCCCGCGAAGGTCCGAGACTCGTCAATCAGTTTTGTCCCGAGTGGGCCAGTTGGCTACTTTTTGACCTTTGACCTCGTCCCAAAGGGGAGCATCAAGGGAGGTGGCCTGGAAGGCGTCCCCAGCCCCACCCGGGGTCCCAGAGCAGCGGTCTGGTCTCACGAAGGCTGCGCTCATCCCACAGCCGTTTCCGCTGAAGCCGTAGTTGCCGCGACCTCCGACCTCAACCCCAAGCCCCTCGGAGGTCACCGCCGAGGCTTCTCCTCCCACTCCCGCGTCCCGCCCACTGCTCGTGACAGGCGCCTCTGCAGGCCAATGTGCGATCCATGCCCACCTCAGGGGCGGGGCCAAGTGCGGGCCAATCCCCGCTTGGGCGCCCGCCCGAGTCCAAACGGCCCAATCAGAGGCGGCTTTGGGGCGGGCCACGAGGCGTGGCCTTCCGGCTCGGCCAACGGGCGTGCACGTCGGTCCCGCGGGGGCGTGTCTGCGGCGGGGGGGCGGGGGGCGCGCGGGGGCGCGGGCCGGGGGGGG